CTGGGGGCATCAACACCAATGGCAAAAAACAAAAAAAAAAAAAAAAAAAAAAAAAAAAAAAAGGAAAAAAAGAAAAAGAAAAAAGACTCAAGGTGTAATTGCTGTCTCTTGAAAACTTTCCACACACCTTTTCCCCATGCCCTCTCCTACCTTCCTCCTCAGCCAGATGGAATTCTCCACGCTTTCCTGACCCCCAGTATAGGCCTCCAGCACAGCGTTTTCCGGCTCCCCTGCAGGGACGGTCTCCTCGTCCTTCTTTCCAGTGGGGCGGCAGAGGCCTGTCCTCTGTCTTCCACACCCCGTGCTGTGCCTCACCCGTACCTGCTCCTTCCCAGTGCTGGCTTTTCCCCGACTAACAAATGGCTCCTGCCCTGCTGAGCACCGATGTGGGCACACGAGTGCATGGGCGCCTGGTGGGGCTGTTCAGCCCCTGGGAAGAGAAGTCACGCTCGTCGGCAGCAAATCATGGGGTGCCACGACCACTGCCATGAAGCCTTTGTCACGTGGCCTGGCTGACCGCCTCCCCACTGCAGGGGCTGGGGTCTGCTGAAACGGGCAGTCACGGCGGCGAGCAGTGCATTTCTTGTACTGTCCACAGCGCCCTTCTCTAAGTGCAGGGAGAAGTGCAAAGGCGGAGGGACGCGGTGGCATGCGTTTACTGATGTGACTCGGCGCCGCTCTCTAACCCGCTGTGACAGCACAAGCGTGGGCTGTGTTGGGTGGGGGTGCACGGGGGAGCCGTTTCGCCATCCTGTGCCTCGCTCTGCCGTACGCAAAATCAAACCGAGGGAGGAGAGGACTGTCACACCGCACGGTTACTATGGTGATCAGTGACTGAGACCCGAGCTGCACTGCCCCTAGCTGTGCCAACTTCCTTTGATTCTGCTTGTTATTCCATAGAGGGAGATGGCGGGCTGCGTTCTCTCCTTTGAATGGGGCGCTTCTGGCAGGGCTGGGCGTGGGAAGGCCATTCACGGGCGATTTTGCGCAGACACCCCAGGCAGCCGTGTGGGACACTCGCGCTCAGTGAGAGCGGGTTGCTCCACCCGTCGGGGCGCACGTGGCGATGTGTGTGTGCCGTGCTGGGCCGGCTGAAATGAGAAGGGCCCTGGCCTGGGCCCTCCGCTGCCCGGGTGCTCTAGAGCCCAAGGAAACCAGCGTCTCGACACAAGGCTGACACCCAGGAAGCTCAGCTGTCAATCACACAATCCCTGTGTACGATGACAGTCCTGTCCCTAGCTAGAGGCCAGCAGTGAGCACTAGCAGGTCAACTTAACCCCTGCTGTAAGAGCAGCTGACCAGAGGCCATGGTCAGGGAGAGGTCTGGGACCGAGAGGACGGATGCAGAGCTCTGGGAGAAGAGTGGTCACTCCTGCTTCCCCCAGACCCGTAGGCCAGGGCTGCGAGGACCCAGCACTCACTCTTGGCCAATGTAAGCAAAAAAAGACGTGTCAGAAAGACGAGCAGACACTACCAGAATCTCTGGGGCGGCACAGTCTTGGGAACGCTGCAGTCAGGACAATGCCCACACTACCTGCGAGGCCTCCCCAGCACACGTCCACCACCGCTGGGCAGGGCACCACCCAGCACGAGAAGCTTGGAGAAGCTTGCCCTTGCTGAAGACCCCTCTGTGTCCCCTTGCCTGCAGCGAGGCTTCGTGCACCAGACCCTCCAGCAATGATTCCTATTCACGTTGACTCCTGCGCTGAGGCCTCAGTGACACTCTATCTGAGCACTGGACTCACGGCCCCGGAGCCTGGCACAACGCTGGGCACTGGGCTCGCAAGGTCAGCCCGAGCCTGCAGACTGCCGGGCGCTGGAACTTCACGCTGTGCCCCCTGACGACCACTGGCCACACCGCATGCCCCTGAAAAGCTGTGTGTTCACCACTCCTGCTCCCCAAGGGGATCCTCAGGAGCTTCTCCTCCAGCGCCGGGCCTGTGGCTGCTCCTCTCGACAAGGCAGGCCGTGTGGCGGGCAGGGTTTGGGATTCAGGCTGAGCCCTCATGGGGCGGGGAGGACATCCAGGTCAGCCAAGGCCACAGGGCGATCTGCAGCACCTCATTTCTCAACGCCACGCAGCTGCACCCATCGCACCAGCTTCTCCTGTAAGCTGTCCCCTTCTGGAGTCTTCTAGGCCGCAGACGCCCCTGCGGTCCCCCCAGTCAGCAAGCTGGAAACCTGCAAGCTGGACTTCGTTCCTCGCTCGCCCTGAGCACTTTGCCCGCCTCCGAGTCCTCCTCTCCCACCCCTCACCGCCTCGCTCCTCTGTGCCAGCGCACCCCCTTCAGTGGGTTAGGCCCTCGCCTCCCTCACCCCTGTGCTGTGCCACGGTTGACACCTGGAGAAGCTTGCCCTTGCTGAAGACCCCTCTGTGCCCCCTTGCCTGCAGCGAGGCTTCGTGCCCCAGACCCTCCAGCAATGATTCCTATTCACGTTGACTCCTGCGCTGAGGCCTCAGTGACACTCTATCCCCTAGAGGCAGGGCACGGACGGCCGCATGGCACTGAGCACATCTAATCCCTCCCAGAGAGTCCTCACGACCGTCCTGGGAGGCAAGAGGCCGCAGCGACAGCAGCGGCGTCAGCAGTGAGCTCGGTCGTGGCTCCCCGCAGCCCCTGCTCCGCCTCGTCAAGTGCTCACAGCTAGTTACACAGCGAGTCCTCCCGCCTCTGCTGCCGCCCAGTCCTGTCCTGCCTCAGGTGCTCTCCTCACCACCCTCCTGTGTGTGCTCTGCAGCTCTTTTTTTTTTTTTTTTTAAATAGAGATTTTTGCTATAGGGCACATGCGCTCACCAGAGACAGAAAGTTAGAAATCACCCCCCCAGGGGATGGCCACCCTGCAACCCCTTCTCCTCCATTCTTCTCTCAGGATTTTGGGCACACATGCACACTCGCCTGGAGTTGGGTCCAGGACTCAAACGGCGGTGGGCTACGTGGGAGCCCAGCAATGTAACCGTGACTCGCCAGATGGCCCCTCGGCAGCTCATTCTGAGCGACCACTTCTGAGGGCCTTTCTTTCTCTCAACGCCCCAGCCAGCTGCCTGAGACGAGCCCTCCCTCCAGCAGTACCTGTGGCCCAAGCACCCGGCCACACTGCCACCTTGCTGGTGGTCAGAGGTGACAGCCCGAGGGCAGGGACGGCGCCCTGCTTAGCGAGCAGCACGTGGAGGGGCGTGAGTAAGAGTACTGAACTCGGGCGGGGCACACAGCCTGGGTGTCCGGCGGGGCCGGCCACGGCCTGCTCGGGAAGCCCCAGCTGGCCTCACGTGGCCACGTGCATGGGCCAGCCTCCTCAGGGG